AAAAAATAAACTATACCACTAGAAAGATCGCAAAAAACTATATATAAGATAATTAAGCGACTAGTGCGATTTTCAAGCCGATTTTGAATTAAAGATGGTTAAAGTTGGCAAAATGGGTACTAATTAGCATTAATTTGGTCATTTCTGCATTTTTTAACATTAAAAACTCGAAATAGGATTGGAAAAACGTAGAACTCACTTAATTGTCTTATATACAGTTTTTTACGCTCTTTCTAGTGGTATGGTTTATTTTTCGTATAAGAGAACATGAAATTTTACATTTTTTCCGATCATAGTAATTTAATAGGCAAAATTTAAAAATTCTCAAATTTTTGGCTATAAAGCAAAAATCAGAGGTGGTAACACACACAGTCTTGTTCACCAAGGCTTAAACTATAAGAAAATGCCTGTTACCAGCTTCTAACATAAAGTTGCCATCAAGTTGTACAAATTGATGACTTGGCCGGCCGTCTAAAGTAAAATAATGCACAAAAAAAAATTGGGGGTCACCATGCTTCTTTTCCAACTATACGAGGCGATAGACCATTTTGGAGTGAATTTCGTACATGTATGTCGTCATAGCAACGAACTATCTGTTACGAAAACTAATATAATTTGAAAGTAGAGTTATCAAAATATATAAAAAACCCAATATCTGCTGAATAAATCCTAAAAGTGAGTAGTTTGAACATGTCAAAGTGTTGAACACCTGGATTTTTGAAAACTGTATCGAGCCACCTTAAATGATGATGGGAATTTCAATTTTGACCGCTTCTTATTTATGACTTCATCAAGTGTCTTCCAAGTAGATTTAATGTTTGATTTCTCATTTTCTAATCTCTTTGTGTAATATAATGATTTAGCAACTCTCAAAGAGTGGGTCAATTTGTTTTTATACTTTTTATAAGATATCTCATTAGCAAGAGTTGGGTCACTTATATATTGTTTATATAGTTTATTTTTCCTTTATTGTTTATATAGTTTATTTTTCCTACTCTAGCAATGGTTTGATGTCCCACATTCGTGAGACATCAAAGGTAACTATTTATAGTGGTTACTTTCATCCTGCTCATCAGCACTACATTGATGAGGCCCAAAAGGCCGAAACGGTACCGTCTGTAGTTAGTTAGGTGAATAATAGTTAATTTATTTAAATAAAGTACAAAACAAACGTTGTTACTCAGAGTTTGTTGTTACTCAGTACGTAACGTTAAACGTTGTTACTCAGTACACTATATTGGAATTACGGCTACAACCTTCAAGGAGCGTTTTAGGAACCACCAGAAATCATTCAACATCGCTACGTATGCTAACGACACTGAACTGTCGAAGTACATATGGAGTTTGAAGAAAAGCAATCGCCCATACAAAATTAAATGGACAATTTTAAAACATTCGAGTGCATACGGATCGGGACGTAATCAGTGCAATTTGTGCAGCGACGAAAAACTTTTCATCATGAAATTTAAAAAGGACTCGCTGCTCAACAAAAGAAGTGAAATATTCTCGAATTGCGTCCACCAAAAACAATTTCTGGCGGGAAAATACATTCGCGTGCAATCAAACAACGTGCGCAATCATGCACGCGCAAGCAAACAAAACCAAACCGTCAAATTTAGTTAACAGAACTTTAGTTGTCCGAAGATTGTCTGTAAACTCAGGCATGAAACTCTGAGTAACAACGTTTGTTTTGTACTTTATTTAAAGACTTAAATATATTTAGCTCTACAATAAAGTATTGAGCACTCTATATTATATCAAGAAGACTTGAATTGTTATATATATATATATATATATATATATATATATATATATATATATATATATATATATATATATATATATATATATATATATATATATATATACGTGAAGTAAAGATTGTTACTCAACCTTGTATTCAGAAATCTGAACTCCCAACGGGAATCGAACCCGTGTCTCCCGATTGCCGGTTCGGTTGTTTTACCACTAGACTATAGGGTTTCAGACAGCAATGCGATGTTAACTAGAGACCTGGTTCCTACCGTTTATATGTGTCCTTTGTACTTAAAGGCTCATCATACTATTTTGTACTAGACTTAGTATATGAACACACAAACACAACAATATCGCATTACAAAATAGTATGAAAACCACAACAGTCTGTTTCATCCGTATAGGAATCATCAGGTGGTGAATAATTTCGAAATTGTAGGTTGCTTTTATGCTATCGAAAGAAGTTTCGCCTACACGCATTCCACACATTCTTTCGATAGCATAAAAGCAACCTACAATTTCGAAATTATTCACCACCTGATGATTCCTATACGGATGAAACAGACTGTTGTGGTTTTATATATATATATATATATATATATATATATATATATATATATATATATATATATATATATATATATATATATTAAAAATGTTAAAATTGTAACCAGGATTAGACATATTATTGAAATGTAGAAAGGTTTGACACTGGTTTGATAAAAACGTTAAAAACTACGTTTATTTAAAAGATGTTAAGACGTTTCGACCAGTGACTTAGGTCTTCGTCAGTTAAAAAGGTTGACTAAGTTCAAAACTGAACAATATGTAAAGGTTCAGAGTTAATTAGCAGATAAGTGTTTTATGCACATCCGCTATCTCGACATGGTCGTTTCCTGCGTTATGATCCTTGAGGGAATACCAAGCCTCTAGAAACAAACGTTCGCGATAGTTCTTTGTCTTGTTGACAATAGTGGCATTGCTGAAGTCAATTCGATGGTCGTATTGTTCCGCATGCTTAGCGACTTTTGAATATTGGTCGCTAACTCTGAACCTTTACATATTGTTCAGTTTTGAACTTAGTCAACCTTTTTAACTGAAATAGACCTAAGTCGCTGGTCGAAACGTCTTAACATCTTTTAGATAAACGTAGTTTTTAACGTTTTTATCAAACCAGTGTCAAACCTTTCTACATTTCATATATATATATATATATATATATATATATATATATATATATATATATATATATATATATATATATATATATATATATATATATATATATATATATATATATATATATATATATATATATATATATTACTGTATGTGGTTTCTTTAGTTGCCTCCCGCCTAGTCATCTTGCTACGCACTTGATTTTAGATCTCATCATAAACCGACGATATTATTTAGATGCGCACACAGCGTTTATATTATTATAAATTGGTATCAAGACAGAGATATTATAATTAAATTCTACAACTTATAGTACTGATAATATATTACCAAGGTCTGCTTCTGTAGCTAAGTATTAAATTATCGCATGCAGAACAATATGTTGCATAAATATAATAATAATATCTTGATAATAAGGATTCCAAGATTCCAGGATTCCAGATTCCAAATTCCATGTTTTACAGCTTACCAGAAATGATGCTCAAGTGGGAGAAAAAGTGCTTCACTGAATAGAATGTCCTTGTGTGTACATTGTACAAGTGTGCAGTTAAGTGAGGAAAAATGCACACACAACTCAAGGAAATCTCTTTGTTGAAAGATAAATTGTGTGCACACTTTGTACACAATTAAAATTTCAAAGTCTACCGGTATTGATAACATCCCTGCTATAGCTCTTAAATTGTCCGCGGAAGTTATTGGTCCTTCATTAACATGGATTTATAATCTTTCAATCAAAACTGGGATATAAGTTGATGAATGGAAAAAGGCGTGGGTAATGCCAATTTTTAAATCTGATGATAGACAAAGATGTGAAAATTACCGACCGATATCTATATTGCCTATTGTCAGTAAAATACTAGAGAGATCGGTTTTCAACCAGATTTATAAGTTTTTGAATGATAATTCGCTGCTATCTAAACATCAATCTGGCTTTCGGCCTAAGCATTCAACTTTAACAACACTCATTCAAATGTGTGACACACTTTATGAGAACACGGATAATGGTTAGTTGAGTGGTGTTGTTTTCCTTGATATTAGAAAAGCTTTTGATTCTATTGATCATACAATCTTATTGCAAAAGATGAATGATCAATTTGGAATAAAAAATGTGGAACTGGATTGGTTTAAGTCCTATCTAACTAATAGAGAGCAAGCATGCATTGTCAACGGTGCAATGTCATCACCTAAAATGATTGTGTGCGGAGTTCCGCAGGGATCAATTCTTGGTCCCTTGCTGTTTTTATTATATATTAATGATTTACCCGAATGCCTCGAAAAAACTTTGCCACACCTATACGCTGATGATACTCAAATTTCTACTTCTGCTAAAACTATTGAGGAACTTACTGAAAATCTAAATAATGACCTGAAAAAAGTCGGTGAGTGGCTTGCTCGAAATAAACTGCAACACCACCCAACTAAGACCAAATTAATGTATATCGGTTCAAAGTATAATACTGATACTATGACTTATGATATTCCAGTAATGATGAATAACCAATTCATAACTCTTGCTCATTCGTACACATGCCTTGGGGTTAAACTTGATGAAAACCTTAATTGGCATGAGCATGTTGAAATGATTTGTAAGAAAGTTGGGGCCGGCATAGGAGCAATGCAACGAATTAAGCCATATGTTCCTATAAATACCCTGCATACCATTTACAGAGCTTTGATAGAACCGTATTTTGATTATTGTAGTCCATTATGGGACGTCTGTAACCAACAGCTGAAAGATAAGCTTCAAAAGTTCCAAAACCGTGCAGCGAGAATTATAACCGGCGCCAGCTATGAAATAAGGTCTGCTGATGTTCTTCGATCCCTTGCTTGGGAAAATTTAGAGATAAGACAACGAACAACTAAATCCACATTAATGTATAAAGTCCTGAATGATTGCGCTGTGCCGAACTTGAAGGATGCTCTAACGAGAAGGGACCTTGTTCAAACCAGTTATAATCTTCGCAATACTTATACTGACCTTACCCTTGCTAAGCCAAAACGAGAATTTCTAAAAAAAAGCTTTAAGTATAGCGGAGCTAAATTGTGGAATAGTCTTCCTTCTGATGCGAAGCTAGCGCAATCAATTTATTCTTTTAAAAACTGCCTGAAAGTTTCACGCTAACATCCCCTAATATACTGTATATGCATGCTTTAGAAATATGGGTCACACCGTTTGGAACTTAATTCTTGTATTGTAAATAGTTGTATATAATTCTTTATTCTTTTCTATATCATATTTGTAATTTTTAATAGTAACAGACGTCCCTCGTGAAAATCAACAAATCGTTGACGAGGCTAACGTCTTTAAATAAAGTTTACATACATACATACATAGTCTTCAATATTTGAGTGAATCATACTTTGGAAATGACAATAAATTTTTATTACCCAACCCTAGTTTGAGTTGGTTTGTTTTTCATTTGCCCAACCTTGTACTAATTCAAAGTTTTGTTCACCCAACTTTTTTCTCTTCGGCGCCACCGCCATAAATAATGACCGATACCTTAGAAGCATTTTTGCCAGGAGTTGAAATGACCGCGCGGGCACCTTTTAACTTTATCTTGACTTTTATTTATTTTACACTCTTTGCTCTTCATGAACAACAAGCATATCTTCATTAAGTTAAGTTGGATTTTCATTTAAATAAACAATTAGATCTCAATAGGAACGACGCAAAACTCAACAACGTACAATATATTCATTTCGATACCAACACATGTTTAAATATGCAAGAACAGTCAAAGTCAATAGCGAACAAGGAAAATTCATTTGGCGTTCAAGTCACGATCATTAACACAAAATAAAAAGAACGATCGAAACTGAATGGAATTTTAATTAACCAGAACGCGATTTCAAAAGAGTATGAGTATTGAGTAGGTACACAACAACAAGTCATCAAATATGTCATCTTTAAGACGTTTATCTCGGAACAAGTTTAACACACAATTTAGTTTTGTTGATCGATCTTAACCGTGAATAATCTCCGTTGCCAAACATCGTGGCAACTATTTGCGGAGCAGACCTTGTGTTAGCAACATTTAACGCAGATTAACTGATAATAGCTAAAGTCGTGTTGTGTTTATTATAACTTTTAGAGGGTGATATGGATTCTGCCGAACGCGCAGGCTTTTCAGTGACAACAACTCAAGATAGTTTACCGCAATCTAGTAAGTATAAGCCATCCATACAATTTCCATGGAGTGAGAATGTAATATATCAATTATTTTCATCATTTACAGTCTTTACAGTAGTTTTCTATAACGTATATCTCATGGTTTAGGGGATGACATTAATACAGATAAGGATAATTATGGATATAACGTGGAAACATTGCCAGACAGATGATGTTCACTGCAAGTATCATATAATAAATATTTGAAAATCGCCCACTTTTGTAATAAAGTTTAACAATTATTCGCCAAAGGCGAGGTGAGTATCGGGGAATATTCGCCGAGACGAAGTCGAGGTGAATATTCCCCGATAATCACCGAGCCTGAGGCGAATAATTATTTTAGTATTTTTACACAAGTCTTTTGTGTTGTTGCATGGGACTGAATTTATTTTAATTTCGCTTATTTCTTTATCAGTAACTTCCACAAAACGGCTAGCCGCCATTTTGAAAATTTCGGTTTTAGCTTAATACGTCAAATTTGACCAATCAACGTGTAGGATTTGTCATGTTCACTTGTGCAAAAATACTAATGTAGAATATATATATTTTGTATTACACGCAGACGATTAGACGAATCTTATAACAAGAACTTAAATCAACTCAAACTTTGTGAAGAGAGACCAGATGTAGTATAAATATTTAAATTCTAATAAATAAACAAATATTTTTAAGTTCTTAATTTTTAAAAACACTTTTGGAGTTGGACTTCTCATATAATATATAATCTTTCAAGCGCGATTAATAAATGTGAGGAATAAGTACAACAGCAAGAAATATATTTAAGATATAATAGTCGAAAATACAAGATTTGTCTATGATACAGTGGAAAATGCAAGACTTAGGGGCCGATTACATGGAGCATTTTCAACCCCGGGGTTGAACTCAGCCCTGTTTACCGGGTTGAAATTTCAGCCCTGTCTGTAATACAAAACTCTATCAAAATCAAACGCGCGATTACATGACAAAATTTTCAACCCAGGGCTGAAATTATCATGAGTTATTCGAGCATACGTGGTAGTGACTATTTATTATAAGAAAACAAAATAAAGGCTGCCGAGAACGTATAGTATAGCGTTTCAACCCCGGGGTTGAAATAGTCCATGTAATCGCAAAAAATTTCAACCCGGTTAACAGGGCTGAGTTCAACCCCGGGGTTGAAAGTTGTCCATGTAATCGGCGCCTTAAATTGTCTATGATAGAGTGGAAAATGCAAGATTTGTCTATGATACAATGGAAAATGCAAGATTTGTTTAAAAAAAGGTTTGGCTGAAAAAAGTCGAGCAAATTTCATTCTGTTCCCGTGCATGATTTTTTTCCTCCCGTATACGCTCTTGCAGCCGAGAGCTAAACTGAATCATAGGAGTAAGGATGATTATAATAGCATACCCCCTCACGTGTATAAATTTCTTAACTGATAGTGATAGCAGGTTGTCAGCCTTCGCAATGCTGGTGAGCAATTTAGTAGACAATGCCTTTATCAAGCCCTAGACATGTTGGCAATTAAAAATTCACGAGTTCCTTATCCCGTCGAAATATAACTTATGTTAAAATATAGTTGTATTTTACACTAAAAGAACGCTCTGAAAGCTTAAAATAATGGAATATATATGAAATTCAGGAACTCTTTTTGTCTTTACTATATGAAAGAGTATGTTATTTTCAAACTATGAATTTCTGTGCCATAGTCGCATGTTGTGTTGTTTTGACTTGCCTTCTTGTCGGTGGAAATACGGCATTGAATCTAATGGAAAGATTGAAAAAGCTTGGTTATCGAGTTCAGGACAAAGATGATATATTAACAGGTAAGGAACATATATTGTAACAAATAATGATATAGATGCTGAGAAGCATCTTTCAAATTGTCTTGACTTATGTAGTTTACGATACATGCTTGCTTTATGTTTATATATATGAAAGTATATATTTACAAGTACTTATAAAGTATATCACAAACAAAAATTTATTCGTATAGTCTAGTACTAGCCTGCATTTTTCGTGGGGAGTTTTGGCAAGCAGAAAGAAACGGACGTTTCTTATAATATATGTAATCTCAATTTTTAACTGAATTCTTAAAAGCGTGCACCTATATCAAATTTGTTCTTGTATATAGTCCATATAGATGAGCGTCAATGCTTGACTTTTGTAATTATATCCATGTACATTGTACAAACACAAATTACTTATATTATAAATATAAACAAAACAATTCACTCGTCGGTCTTCGTATATAAACCACTGCATTCTTTTGGATCATTTCGTACAAATGCTTCAAAACTTTTGATAGTGTAACTACTGTAAGCATGCAGCCGTAATAATCGTAACGTGAAAATTGATTGCTTAACTGTTTAAGTTTTCATTTTTTGCTCATTTTCCTTAGATCATTTGTTATCGGACAAAGGGAAAGACACTAAAGGTATATAAACTATTTTATGATTGGGAATTTTTGTCGTGTCTCTTTCAAAAAGATAATGCTCTCATAATGGACTTCGTTTGTTATCAAAACAACCATGTAAAAAAAATCCCCTTTAGAGAAATATTAAAAGCGATTTCCCTGTTCTATAAGTATTGCGATCTCTGTTTATGTGAATGACAAACTTTGGAGGAAAATGCATTTTACAACATACGCTTAAAGCTAGGACGGTTATTAATCTTGCATGACTTGTTAATTACCGATCCATAAAATCCCCATACAGTAAAGATGTTTTATTGGAGAGTATGCTGATACTATACTAAAATATGATATCCCCCGCATGGCTCTAACAAAAGAAAGAAACCCCTGCCCCTTCACCCATAGCACAGAGTAGAGACATACAGAGACGTAACTAGTGTACCCACCTTTTTTGTGCGCATGCTCGGCAAGTTACTAGATGCATGCATCTGATTGGATGACGATCCGATGACGACTCACTTTAAACTTGGTGAGCACGCGCAGTTGATCATTTTTCGCCCGGTCGCCTGAAAAAAAGTGGGTACATGATTACGTAATCTTCCGCAGTGTTTACAACGGTCAGTTACGTCTCTGTATGTCTTATCTACTCTGTGCCCATAGTAAAAACTGGACATTGGCTTAGCTTCTTTTTAAATGAAGTTTCAAATTTCTCCATTAAAACTCACGTTAGATATTTTTACTTTTCATTTACCAGATTCGGACAATGCGTTCGGATCGCATGGGGTGAACCTTGAACTGTGGTTGGAAATGGATGGATATTCGGTGAAATCACTCCTAAGTGATCCCAGGTTCCCACATACCCCTGATATTCGCACGTTAGCCCACAGTTTCAGAGAGCCGCGTGATTTAGGAGAGAGTTACGCGTCTCGGCTGTATGCTTGGTTTGCGCCCCCAGAGACTGGAAACTACCAGTTTCTTGTCTGTAAGTATATCATGTTCATTGTCTACTTATACTTGCCTAAATATTGTGATAATCATCACAAGACCTACATAATAAGGAAGAGCACATTGACCTTAACAAAATTTCAAAGTTTGATGTTGATTGGATCAATTCTGATCAAGATACAGCCATTCAAAAACAAAAAAGTTACTAAGAAATATATGGATTTCTTAGAAAATTGCGTAGAATTTTTTTTTTAGGGTGTGGAAAAAACACTATTTCATGCATTTTAGAAAACGTTTTATGATAATTTGAGCCACAGATTTGGTATATTTTATGTTATAGATGAAAACGTTGAGAAGTTATGCTGCCCCCTTCCCCCTCCCCAAAAAGAAATTCTCAGTTTTGAAAGAATTACAAAATTGGTCCTGACGAAAACTGGGGGGGGGGGGGACGTGGCTACCCCTCTGCTTTGACTAGATCAGGTTGAGATGCGTCCTTCGTAATGCCCCTCACTTTATTGTTCTAAATTGCATAAGGCTCCATTTACACTTGCAATCTTTGCTGCGGTTTTAGGTGCGATTTTCTTATTCTGATGGATGTGAACGAGTGGATGACTTATGAATGAGCCTGATGAGCGTACACGTACTCAGAACATTCATCACTCATCTACTCGTTCACATACATCAGAAGAAGAAAATCGCCCCAGAAATCGCAAAGTATAAACGGGCCTTTTAAGTTCCCTGAATAGCTAATATTTGGTTTGTTTTTCATCTTATTTCAGCAAGCAACCATGAAGGACAGCTATTCGTGAGCACTGATGACAAACCCGAACACAAACGTCTCGTTGCCTTCATAAAGAATCCTGATGCAACCCATGATCTGCAGTTTGACAAGTGAGTAACATGAGCAAAGATTGTTCACAAGTTTTATTACTCAAGGCTGCATTACACTATCAAAGTTTCTGTATTTTGCATCGGTAACGCCAAGTTTTGATGCTCGTGTGCCGGTGTGCCATATTGGTGTATTTCTTCTACATGCATTTGTCAAGTTTTTCTTGGCGGCCTTACTCGCGTACAAATTCTTGTTGTTGGAACAAGGCTGTTTGGCAAGGAAGATTGTCAATTTTTTGCCGTACACAAACATGCAAATAGAATATTTGCTCGTCAATATGGGGCTTAAGAAGTCTCGAGTTCGTTTGCCGCTCGGGGACTTAGAAGTATTTGTATAGGTAATAGTATTGTTTCGGATATAATTTTGAAAAAACATGCGCTACAGGAGTACAGCACCAGTGGATTTTTCAAAGATAATCAAAGCATGAAACACTCACGAACATTTGCAACATGACTCTGTATAGCACTCTGCCCATACTGTGAAATTTGCAATTGCACCACTAAATCCATAGTATATTCATACTATTTCGATACTATATTTATACTATGAAAATATACAATTATTATGGATAGTCAAAAATCCATTCTATTTCCAATAAATTAAGGTCCATACAATTTCCATTCTATGCATTTTCAAATTGTTTCCTAGCATAGCTCAGTGGTCAAAGCGCTGGACTGGAATCACAGGGGATGCAGATTCGATTTCAGCCGAAAGGCCTATAGTTGCATCGGTATATAAAAGGTCTAAAATAAGCATAGAGTTTTCGCTCCTAATTTTCATGTGCAAAAACAATTTAACATTCTGTTTTGTCATATGAGAAAAATCTTGCATATGAACTCTCTCTAAGTGGGTATCTTACCTTTCAGGCTCGAAAGCCAGAAGTCGCCTATAATTCCGATGATCAAAAATAATTACTATTACGTCGAAGGTTTACATAAAGAATTGTTTGGAATTGATAATTTTGGTATCGGCGTCATATTTCCTAATGGAACATACGACACACCCATCAGTGAAGAATACTGTTATTATTATTATAAGTCGTCCACTTTTGAAGGTAAGTAATGCATGGGCGACTCCAGCTATATAGACTAAATTTTGATCAAGGCAAGAAGAACGAAATCCAACAACACCATAGCTAGAAAGAGCGTCTTAGAATGAGTAAAACTGCAAAGTTTGGTTGCGAAATGTTGTAAAATGAGGAACATATAGCCCTGCGAAGTTCGCAAATTTTGTATATATTTTTATTACGCGCGGTAAAAATAACCACTTTCTGCTCAAAGATGATTATTTTTCCCGGGCATAATGCAAATATATACAAAATTTGCGAACTTCACAGGGCTATATTTTCCTCATTTTACAACATTTCGCAACCAAACTTTGCAATTTTACTCATTCTAAGATGCTCTTTCCAGCTATGGTAATGGATTTCGTTCTTCTTGTTTAGATCAAAATTTCCTCTTTTGCTGGAATGATCCATTTTTGGTGTAAAGTTTCCATGGAAGCAGTAATTTGTGATGCAGGGCTCAAAATAACGAGATTTTTCACCGTTCATTGATACGCTTCACTGACAGTGAAACAAACTATTAAAAACTTGTTTCGATACATCATAGTTTCATGTTTTAATTCAAGACGTCAGCAATTACATTGGAAGGCATAAAAATGTGGCCGGTCAAAATGATCGGTGAGATGAAAAAGTGACCAATCAAGAGGCATTTTTGGCCGGTCATTATCCGTTGACCGGCCGTCATTTTGAGCCCTGAGTGATGGGTAGCCAAATGCAAACGAAACATAGAATCATAGAGTAAAACATCCGGGGGATTTTCAAGTGATATTCCATTTTCAGATTATTAGGAGTGAGTGCCGGGCAATCTGTGTTAGAAAATGTTTTGTTACTGGTTTATGAAATTTTAAAGTGGTTTTTCTTGAAATTAAACATAGTGGTGGTTCCGTAGTAGTTCCTCAACCCGAAAGGGTTATAGATAAATGTCAAGCTGTTTATGAATGCTGACACTAATCCACATCCCATTATTTTGGCTAAATATGTATGTAGATTATATAATTATCATGATCATGATGAGTGTTTGAAGGACTTTTAGTTGCTGGAAGCATCGTATAATTGGAGAAATATAAGGAGAAGTTTTAATAAATAAATATATAAAATTGTGCTTCCCTTTCTACACGCAGACAAGACGGTTTCAAACCCCGAGGACGCGGGAATGAAGGCGGCCGAGAAGGCGAGTGAAGATATAATGGAAAAAGCGAAAGAAGAAGCTAAAATATCTGCCATGAGGGAAGCGAAAAAAGAGGTTGAAAAATTATTAAACATAAAGCCGTTGCCAGCCGGAGTGAATGTGACGGGCAATCACTCGAGGTTTATCGAGGGAACTCATTTTCACGAGGTTTTCAAGCAAGTTCTTAACAGTAAGAAGAAAATAACAGCTACATTTTGGAAAGCAACAGGCGAGTCTAAATTCCAAATTGTTCATGAAGAGTTAGGTCCACCTCTTACTGGCCTTGTAAACTGCTCTTCCTGAAGGTCTAGTGAGGGCAGTCTCTTAGTATTCTGTGTGTACGTCAGGCTAAAACCTAAACAAACTGTATTCATACAGAATAGCTCCATCAGTTCTTAACTGTTCCGCCTTGAAGTTCAGTAAGATGGCTATTATTGATCGTTGTAAGTGATGGCTCTTACTAGATCTCCAGGTGGACAAGTTAGAATTTGTAGAACAATCCCAATATAAGTAAAGTTAGTTCAGTTTTCTAGTTTAGGTTTCCTTTTGTGGTAACTCTAGGCCTTACTATTATCTCTGGAGAGTTTGGAACTGATAGAGCTGGAAAATATAGATAAATTAGTTTAGTAGGACGATGGTCTGAAACCTAGTTTTGTCTTAGTTTATGTTCACTATCAGTCACGATGGTTGATAGAGCTGTGCAATCTCTGGTTCTTTTAGCTCTGGCTCCGCAGCCGTTCCGCACGTTGTAACCAATAAATTATTGGCGTTGTAATGCCATTGTATGCAATAAAGTATTGGGTTGTACCAAACGCAGACAACCCCTAACCCTAACTACTAACCCCTAACGCTAACCCCCACCCCTAAAGCCGGCGGCCCGCTACCCCTGCGGGGAAAATACCCTACCGCCTTCCCACCATCCACCAAGCTAAGCCACTGGACTAACAAGAGATGACCCTTACTTGACCTCTAGGGAGAACAGTTTAAAACTGATATAGCTATCTAGTATAAATAAGGTCAACTTATACATATCCATTTTTTTCTTACGTAGGATTTTCGGGCGCTATAAAGATCTACTCCCTGGACTTCCCCGCACAACAAGTAAAATACGAGAAAAACCTAGCATGGACAATTCTGAATAACGAACTGACCTTGGGACAGTGGGGTGACTGTTTTATTCCCCACACCCCTGGGAACCTCAATGGGACCGGTGGTATAGCGCAAGGTACCACCGTGTCGTTCGAGGTTTACAACAAACCTGGATATTTTATAATGCAGAAGAATTATAGATTCGTCATTGCTAAGAAAGAAACTGCCAAATTATTTAGTACGTGAATATTTATTTCAATTGTTTTAGAATCTCTTTCTAGCCAATTAAGTTTAGTCAAAACATCTGACATTGCTTTCCGCAATGTCTACCACCTCAGATCTTCTTTTGATATCTTCGTTTAATATCCCTAACGTTCTCTGCAATGTCTATCGCCACACAATTACTTATATCTTCATTCCATGATGTCTCTGACCAACCCTTCTTTTCTCTTCCTATTACCCGTCCATATCATCTCCGCATTGCTTCCCTCATCTTCTCTGCAATGTCTACCACTCCACATCTTCTTCCGATATCTTCATTTCATGATCTCTTTTCCAGATCTCCCTAATCTCTTCTTATTACCCGTCCATATCATCTCCGCATTGCTTCCCTCATCTTCTCTGCAATGTCTACCACTCCACATCTTCTTCCGATATCTTCATTTCATGATCTCTTTTCCAGATCTCCCTAATCTCTTCTTATTACCCGTCAATATCATCTCAGCATTGCTTTTCTCACCTTCCTTACAATGTCTACCATCCCACATCTTTTGATATTTTCATTCCATAATGTTTCTACCAGGCTTTCCTTTATCTCTTCTCGTTACACGTCTATACCATCACAGCCTTGTTTCCCTTTGAAATATCTACAATTCCACATCTTCTGATATTTTCATTGCATAATGTCTCTGGCCAGCTCAGCCTCTTCGTCTTTTCTTATAACATGTCCATCTCATCTCTGCTTTCTTCACTTTCTCGGAACGACTACTACCATACATCCTTATCCACATTCCATAGTGTCTCTGACCGTCTTCCTTCATCTCTTCATTACACTCTATATAATTTCTCAGCCTTGCTTCCATCATCCTTTCTGCAATGACATCTTCTCGTTTCTTCATTCCATAAAGCCTCTGACCGGCTCTCCTTCATCTTTTCTTATGACATGTCCGTACCATCTTTCACCTTCTCTGCAAAGTCTATCACACACATTTTCTGCTTTCTATAATGCTTCTACATTCCATAATGTCTCTGACCGGTACCCGGACATTTTGCCGAAAGACACTTTGCCGAAAGACACTTTGCCGAACGGACATTTTGCCGAACGGACATTTTGCCGACGGTCATTTTGCCGAACGGACATTTTGCCGAACGGACAGTTTGCCGAAAGGACAACTTGCCGAAAATAAACTTGTCAAAAACGTGAAAGAATATAAAACGAAACTATACCTCACTATCAAAGTTTCTGTAATCAAAATCGACGATTAATGACTTTAATCACAGAAACTTTGACCGTGTAAGCGAACCTTTAAAGTTCAGAAGATGTCTCTATTTTCGGCAAAATGTCCGTTCGTCAAACTGTCCGTTCGGCAAAATGTCCATTCGGCAAAATGTCCGTTCGGCAAAATGTCTTTCGGCAAAATGTCTTTCGGCAAAGTGTCTTTCGGCAAAATGTCCGGCCACCTCTCTGACCAGACTCCTTCCTCCCTTCATCACATGTTTGTACCATCGGAGCTTTTCCTCCCTTATATTTTCTGCGATGCCTACCACCCCACATCTTGTTCTGATATCTTCATTCCATAATATCTCCGACTGGCTCTCCTTCATCTCTTCTTAGGGACCGGTCATTTATGGTGGGGGGTGGCACCGAAGATAAATGTTTTTTGTGGCAAAAATGTTGCTGACCCAACCATTAAAAAGTCAAAAATTTGATTGCCCAACCTCAAATATCAATTAAAAAATAAATACCCACCCCTGGCCAAAAACTTTACAAATTGAAAACCATTCAGTTGTCACACGTGTCCTTTACCATTTTTGTGACATGAGTTTGATAACGGCTTGTGAAATTTTCTAAAGTTTCATGTTATCTGCAACAAATCGGACTGAAATGATCAAGATAGTGACTCTGATTGATTCACATATTGTATTGACATATCACTGTTGACATTGCTTTTCAGTCTCCAATATTTCATTGAGTCATGCTTTGGAAATGACAATAATTTTTTTGATTACCCAACCCTTGAGTTGTTTTGTTTTTCATTTACCCAACCTTTTATTCACTCAAAATTTTGTTTACCCAACCCTTTTCTCTTCGGTGCCACCCCCTGCCATAAATAATGACCGGTCCCTTATTACGCGTCCATGCCATCTCAGAATCGCTTCCTTTACCTTCTCTGTATAGCCAATTGCCCCAAATCCTCTGATCTCTTTATTCGCATCTTGTCCCATACTAATTTATGATTTAAATAATCTCATATAGAAAAGGAATCCTCGTTTACGGAGAGGCACAGAGTAAGCGTTCCTCGGACCTCTTCATTTCAACTGTACCAAGCCGGGCACTTCGGATGGTTTCTCTGTGTGGGTAGCAGGATTGAAAGGCTACGTTATAAGATGGAGTTTCTTTTTGATGACGAAAGTACAAGTTTTCTCAGAAACTGTTCGTTCTTTATCAAGCCTTCTGGGAATTGTTCCATACAAGCTAAATATTACAAGAACCAAACTGTCGATCATTCAGGTGAAATGAAATAATCAACTATTAAACGCACGTTTATGTCCCTTGCCGTGAAATTGAGGCCTATTCAAACAAGGGGCAGATCTAACCTTATCTGCAAGGAGGAGTGCATGTTTTCCATGAGGTGGTGCATGAGGGAGCCTTACTTCCCACTCTCTCTCCTGTGCAGTCTGCAACGTTACTATCCCAACGTTACCTTTATTTGAGATGGCCGAATCTGCATGTTCGCTGTTCTGTTAGGTTTTACATTATCTTGTGCTTATAAAGTTTATATCGGCTTTTTATCACATATGCGTGACTGGACAGTTGCTGTGGCACAGTAAAGTAAATTTGCTTGTTAAAGTACAGTATATTTGAAAATATGGCTGAAAAACAAATAAATAACAACCTCGACATGTCTACGTATTTAACCATGATATTTAACTAGCATTCTGAGTATTTTCTCTTGAGCTCACAAATAAATTAAATCGTTTCACGAAATCTACTCACGAAAAGCAGAAAATGTATGGTCAAGCAGTTTTTTAGAGTGGTGTTGGACTTCTCTTGGAGGATGCTAGTCACCACCAAGTGGATTAATCTTGTTTTCCTTTTTATTTTGCAGCCGGTACATGTATCATGCTACGATTTATCAAATTCAGCGTGAAAACATCACTGCTACTCAATTGCTCGAACAGAATATCACATCCTTACAAAATGGCCGACAAAGTCTTCGAATTAAAACTGGTTTTCCAACCACCTGTCAGCGATACGATAACCTGTACAATACACGACCCGGAGTTTTCGTGGAGGATTTGCTATCTGAATTTTCGGCTACAAATATTTGCCCAAGCTAGCAAAAATTGTTTAGCGTACACTAAGGTTATAGTAACATGTGAGGACAAAGGTATGTTGCTAAACTCAGGTTTTTGTCTACTAGTGGGCCTTACAGATCGGTGGTGCGACGGTGGTGCGACGGTGGTGCGACGGTGGTGCGACGGTGGTGCGACGGTGGTGCGACGGTGGTGCGACGGTGGTGCGACGGTGGTGCGACGGTGGTGCTATGGTGGTACCACGGTGGTGCTACGATGGTGCTACGGTGGTGCTACGGTAGTGCTACGGTAGGGCTACAGGGTTGCTACGGTGGTGCTACAGGGTTAATACGGTGGTGCTATGGTGGTTTACGGAGCGGTCATTATTTTTGACAGAGGTGGCACCGAAGAGAAAAGGGTTTGGTAAACAACATTTTGAGTGAGTAAAAGGTTAGGGAATTGAAAAGCAAAGCAATCCAAGGTTGGGTTACAAAAAATTATTGTCATTTCCAAAGCATGACTCACGTAAATATTGAAGACTAAAAAGCACTGTCAACATTCATATGTCAATATTGGTAATATTTATTTTGATACTTTTATAGCACCTCGACCATGTGTACAGCTACCTTGTATTACCACAACACCACGACCAAGTACCACCCGCCTACCTAAAACCACTCCTCCCTCACCCAGCACCACTCCATTCCTAACCACACCCAGTGAAGCAGCTTCTCCAGACCAAGGTAAAACAACACCCACGCAAAGTGCATCACCTGAACAGTTTTCCACTCCTGCCCCACCTCCCCCTGTACCTGTAATCCATGTCTGTCCAGGCAGGCCCGGCCCTCCTGGAAAACCAGGGAATAAAGGTCCACGAGGTTATCCTGGTCCGCCTGGCCCACCTGGTCCCCCGGGGTATCCATGTCCACGAGAAGGCACCAGCTATCCAGGTACTCCCAGTCCAGTTCCAACAACCAGTCCAGTCACTATAAGTCCAGTGACTAACACTCCAGTTACTATCAGTCCAGTGACTAACACTCCAGTTACTATCAGTCCAGCGAATGAGACAGTTTCCCAAACGAATGCCCCAAATGCAGTGAAAAATCCAGATAACCCACCCCAAGCAACAAACATTATTGACACACGGTCAATCATAGCTTCAGTCCAGAATGGCACATCGAAACCTTCCTGTCCATTCCGTTTCCCCCCTGGTCCCCCAGGTTTCCCAGGCCCCCCTGGACCAATGGGTCCAGTAGGTGGCCGTGGTCCACCAGGTGCTCCTGGCCCTCCGGCAAGATGTCCGCGACCAGCACCGCCACCGAAACCTGGTAGGTATTCTAAAAGCCAGCTCAATAACTCTGTGACAACGCTGTAACAATAAATTTTCGGCTAAAAAATGGTAACAATTTGCGCACGTAATACAAACATATACAAAATATGCAAACTTCGCAAGGCTATATTTTCTGTATTTTACAACATTTCATGACCAAATTTTGCAATTTTACTAATTCCAGATCTAATAGGTTCTTTACGGGAATTTACTTTTTTTGCCTAGATCAAATTAGTCGAACATGCAAGTTGTCTATTTTCTTTCTTCCATTTCAGTTTGCCCAGTGTATTGTCTACCACCTTGTCCCACAACGTGTCCGGCATATTGTTGCCCAGTATCTAGTCCGATACCACCACCAGTATACCATCCAGCACCACAGACAATGTACCATCCAATACCACCATCACCACCATACCAACCATCAGCGTCCCAACCAATTCCCCACCCGATGTACCCACCCCCTTCCCCGCCGACGATGTACCCGCAGCCAAGCCCAGAAGATCGACACTGCGCGTGTAGAAATGAATGCGACGAATACGGAGCTGGCTGTCGAAAAATTTGCAGTTGTGAGGAGATTGAAATAGTGAAAAAATCTAATATAATAGCTCCAGAATAAAATTAATATTAATCTGAGTGTGAGAGATGAATTTTGGCACTAAAGCCTGCTTTACAGGGCCGTGCCAAGTGGTTTTTGGTTGGGGGGGGGGGTGAAATAAAAAATTTGGGCCCCTCCCATTTGGGGGCCCCCTCAAAATTTTTTTTCCAGAAACCAAAAAAATTTTCTGGAAAACACTGGGGAGGGGGGAGGCCCCAAAATTTTTTTCAAACATTAGGTTTACATAATGGGGGCTTAAATTTAGTTTTGAAGACCTTTTTAAACCAATTTTCCCGAAAATTCCTTAATAATTCCGCTTTCCAGGCCCCCTCTTCGCCTTTTTTACTTTTCTTTGGGGGTGATACACCCCCACCCCCAGGTGGCACGGCCCTGCTGCTTTACACTATCAACGTTTCACAGTAGGAATTTTGTGTAGGTAAATTTTACGTTTTGAAGGATTTGCGTCCCAAAAATAATCTTTTAATGCGTAATTTCATAATTTTCGAAAGCTTATTATTCGAAGGGTATTTATGCAAACGTCTTCAAACTTTGTATACTTGCTAATTTTGAGGTGGTCTTTTTAGCGATTTAGTTCATTTCTTAATTTGGGCACTTTTTAACACTCGTCCCAGTCCACTCATCAACTTCGGAATGGCTAATAGGGATCATCAAACCTACATTGATACTTTACACAACACATGCATGCATGATTCCAATGGCCATTGGGTGAACCATGCAGACATTATTTTAGAACAGCCATATAACATTGGTTCTAGTAGACCAATTTTATTAAATCTTAGTATCAAAATTCATCTCTTAAGATTAAGTTTTCGATGCCTACTATTGTTAGCTATTGTATTTTTCCAGGAGTATAATAGTATAGCGCATCAGAACATTTTTGTACGCCGACGATTTGCGCTTGATAAATCAATAAATTATCATCATAAATATCGTTTTTGTTATCCAATTTCATATAGTAATAGGAGGGATATAAAATTCAATTTATTCAATTTAATTCAATTCAATTTATTAAATTGCCACAAAAAAGGAATTATTTACAAAACAAACATAATGAAAGATGCATGTGACGAGGAATCCGAAGTAGAAACCATAATGCTTATTGAGTTATGGCTTCCTCATTTATAAAAGTATTACAATAGTTTATTCACAGCTGTGCTATAGTAGTCAGATAGACTTGACTTAACTAACTAATTTGGCATATCTGGGTTTTAGAGTATTGAAACCCAAGGATGTTATAGTCGAGAAAATAGGCAATTCCAGCTTTTAGTTTATGCCTGCAGGGGATGATGGGAAGTAAGGTATCACATTGCTGATTATGCTGAAAATTTCATAAAAACTGCCGAAACAACCGAAATATTTCAATATTTACAAGTATAAGCTATCACTCCGTGTTTACACGGCCACCATTTTTATTTTTTCAGCATAATCAGCAATGTGATACTTTACTTCCCATCGTCCCCTGCACGCATAAACTAAAAGCTGGAATCGCCTATAAGAAGTTTCTTAATTTGAATTGGAATTGTTGAAGAGTTGGTGCATTAAGGATATCGTTACTCAGTGTATTAAAAAAACTTGAACCTTGATAGGACACAGAGAATTGACGTAACTTAGTTCTACACAATGGTACATATAACAATTCAGCGTAATTCGCGTAATTTTGGACTGGGAAATGGGATTTGTGTGACTGGAAATGACAGACAGAGAAATGAGAAAACCCAAATACTACTGATAAAGACAGCTGTAGTTGGATATTTCAGAGTTGAAATAACTTTGAGAATTTGATTCTTTTTGAGAATTTTTCGAAAAATGTCCCGTCGAAATTCTGCCCTTTTTAGGCTCGAGGTCGTATTAAATGTCTGCTATTGTGAATTAGATTTTGGCAGAAAATGACAGTATTTATAGCCTACGTTGTTGTAAGTGAGTTGTGTGCTTGATTTACACAGTACAACTCAAGTTGTAGACAGGTTGCATGCGACAGTTTTAGTCAAAAGTTGTTTACTGTAAATCGGCCTTACTGTCATTCAAATTGAAGCAGGGATGGATATAAGAAGATTTTTTCAAAAAAAAAATCTTCTTAATTCTTATATTCATTATAAGAAGATTTAAGGGAATATAAGAAGATAATTACTAATTACCAGGCTCTTTCATTTTTCCAAGATGGCGGAAATATGGCAGATATATACTTTAAAATTGTATTATTTATTAAAATATGTGAAACAAGACTACCAAGTCGGGGATTGAAATCAAAATTAAAACATTAAATACATTTCCTTGGCTGGTGGGTAAATACTATAATAAGTTATATAACCTACTACGTACATTGAATATTTATATTATGAATTATGAATAATAGGTAAATTTGTTGATTTTACAATTTCAAATCCTTTTTATAATTTACACGAAGCTATAGTCTTAAAATAATATAAGAAGATATAAGAAGAATTTTGGTCAAAATTAAAATCTTCTTATAATAATATAAGAAGATATAAGAAGAAATAATATAAGAAGATTTGCCATCCCTGAATTGAAGTGTTCCTCAAATATTTCAATACATTACCTCGGGCTGACCAATTCATTTGATCAAGTTCCTCAAAATATTCATACACTTCCTAGTATAATTGTAAACTTCCTGTTGAATAGTTTGAATGCACCAATCACCTTTGTTGTTTGTGCAACTAACCAATCATAAATAGAAAGGAAGTGACCAGAAATGATAAAATACTTGGAATTGGCTCTTTCACAGGAAGTGTATGAATATCTCGAGGAACTTGATGAAATGAATTGGTCAGCCTGAGGTAATGTATTGAATCAATATTTGAGGAACACTTCAATTGGAACGACAGTAATAGACAACTTGCATGTCAGACTAATTTTTGATCTAGGCAAAAAAAAGGAAATTCCCGTAATGAGCTTATTAAAATTAGTAAAATTGCAAACTTTGGTTACGAAATGTTGTAAAGTTTGGAAAATGTAGCTTTTCGAAGTTTGCACATTTTGTATATGTTTGTATTACGTGCGGAAATTGTTACCATTTTTAAGCCGAAAATGGTAACAATTTCCACACGTAATAAAAACGTATACAAAATTTGCAAACTTTGCAAGACTCATATTTTCCAAGCTTTACAACATTTTGCAACCAAATTTTGCGATTTTACTAATTTCATTATGCTCTTTTTAGCTGTGATGTTTGATTCTTTTCTCTTTACTTAGATTAAAAGTTAGTCTAACATGCAAGTTGGCCATTAATAATATGGACACGATATATAGTTTCCTGAATGGCAAAATTCGCATATGTTTTCTTCAAAAAAAACGCTATAGCCTTTCTATTCTTGACTTGCAATGATGTGGGCGGCGGCCATCGGACATTTTCCGAGCAAATTACAATTGCAATAAGTTCTCTTGAAAGACTGCATGGGTTAACACCAACATGGCCACCATGCCATTGTCTGTCTAATTCTCAAGGGATTCATTGCAAGTCAAGAATAAACGTAAACAATTTTTGCTATATGAATTTCATGGCATAACTTAAAAAGATAGCACCTTATTAGGCAATGAATGCATCACACCGCATAATTGATATTCAAATAATTAAACATTCTAAGCGACCGTATTTAGTCCCCAAGGGAGTTCAGACCAATGCTTGCTTTTAGCAGTAGCCAATGATAGCAAAGCTTTTGCAAGCTAAACCAATCAGAGCTCGTAAAAAATTACCAATAGCAAACAAGGGTGTGGTTTACGCATTCGTGGTAAATTTAAATATTTCTGCTCGAGCTTGGAGGCGTCATTGTGACTCGAAGTTTAGGAAAGTACACATTAAAGTTAGTGCAAAACTTCGCTATATGAAACGTTTTCGAAATAAAATCGTTGTGCCATACAGAGGGAAAGGTCAGTATTAAATTTAGCTATTTTTTAAACGTTTTTGAGTTGTTCTTGTTAAGTTATTGCTGTTTTTTAAAACACGTGTCTATATTCATTGTAGTATGTATTCAATTTGATTCCCATTCAAGCGCTTCGTTTCAGCGCTCAGTGGCTTTATTTTCTCTATGTTTCTCCCGAATTTCCTACCAGTAATGTTCAAAAATACCCCAGCTTTGATTCATTTAACTCACATTTAGTTTATCTGCAATTTCAGGGCGAAAATTTGAAGAGAAAGTGAACTAATTTAAGTCACCGACATGGTCGAAATGCCGAAGCACTTGGTAAGCAAAGGCGTTTCGTTCTTGTTTGTTTATCGTTTTTAAGCTTTCTCAATATACCTAGAACGTCTTCTAGCATTGCTTTGTAACCTTATGAACACTCTAAGTCAAGTTTAGTTACAATATTGGTGAAACTTTTGTCCATACCGAGCGAATTGCCGATTTTAGGCATGTTCAATTTCACATGGAGACGTGGCATATAATTTTCGAGCATTTTAGCTTTTACAAACTAGTCGTTTATGTACAATTGTTCTTTGAGAGGGAAGGCTTAGCTTTTTTAGTTTCTTAGATTGTGTAAGTTGAATTTCATCCAATATTTTTACGAAATTTAAAGGCGAAATGTCCTCGTGGTTCATGCCGTAATTTTATGCATAGATGCACGCACTCTTAAAATTAAATTACTGAATTGGATAACCACACCTTGTGTAAACGACATTGAATAACTCTTCGTTGTTTTGAAACTAAAAATTCATTGTCCATTTTTTTAGACTGCCTCAAAGTCGATCATTCCAGTGGCAAACAGTACAGAAAGACCTCTGCACAGATTTGAAAGGGCGCTCGCCTAGCAGTCGAAGCAAAACGAGAAAGATTAGAAGACAAAGGACAAATGAGACCAGCCACCAGCTCGATTCCTTTGCGAACCCACAGCATTCATTGTCAGATTTCGTTTGTGCAAAGTTTAGAAGAGATTGCCACTTGTCCAGAGACTGTAACGAAGGCATATAATAACATACTCGAACTGTCTGTGCCAAATATACAATATGTAACGAAACGCTCTAAAGCAGATCCTCGTCAGATTTCGTTCAATCAGCCAATTGTGAATGAGATGCAAAAACCTGCTTAGCGACAATCGACGCGGTACCATCCAGAGAGCATAACCAATACGCCATACCATCGCCAAAGATGTTGTACATTACAGAAGGTATATTTTTCTCGTGATTCTCGTTGTGCGTGTTCGAAAGTACGTGGGGGCCGCCCTGAGGACGCCCAAATGAACAAAACAAATTTAAATGTGGCATATTTTCCTTAATTTCGCAATTTATTCAAATTTTCTACATTTCTTGGTATTTGTGAAAAGCTCTTAACGAAATCGAAATGTTTGAAATTCGGAAGTTTCTATCTGGGAGTTTGTTTATTTGAAAGATATTTGAAATGAAATTTTGAAGTTTACATCACTTTGATATTTGGTTTAAACGCTAGGTAAAATCATGCCAGAGGAGTGGTCGACCATTCGTCGAAGTTCGGTGATACTTCGGCTCGGATTTCCCCGACCTACAGTCGAGTTGCTCTGATCGATTATCATGATCAACTAGCGCAAATGTAAGGTCTGGCCAGCCTTGCATCTGTGCTTTTTGTTCGTGGCATGAGATTGGGGCAGCTCGCCTGTAGGCCTGGAATGATCAAGCCTAAGTACCACCGAGTTTTGATTTGTGGCCGACTTTTTGTCTGTATGGCTTTATCCAGCGTTTTCCCGTTATCATTTTGATGCAGACTTTGGGATTTTGGCTTGAATATCTTTAATATAAACATTCTTTGAGGTTTAATCTTTCAAGAATTTCATGGTTTTTGACTAGTTAACGTGTTTCTCGCAGATACTATAATTGTATTAAAAATATTGACAAAAAATTTAAAACTGACCAAAACATCATACCATTGGATAAATACGGATTGCTGTGACACTGTGTACTATTGAATATATTGTGAACATTAATGGATTACAACGAACACTTATGGATTACTATGAACATTTGTGGATAAAATGTACCTCTCGATCGACGGTTACCTACCAATGTACCTTCACAACGAAAGCTACACGACTGCAACGAGATGACTGCCTCAAGGTTAGAGGGTTTAGTCTGATAACAAGCAGTTGTTAACTTGTTATCAGGCAGTAGAGTTAGCCTGCTATCAGGCAGTAGTTAGCCTGCTAACAGGCAGTATATATGTAGGATTCGTACCCAGGACACTAATTTGCATGTGGTCGGTGAAGTCTCTGGGTTAACCGGTTTAAAATTCCTGGCGGTCTGTCGTTAGTAGTACATCTGCACTCAAGGTTGATTTTTATTCAGATGTTTGCATGCTAATAAAACTGAATTGAGGTACAATTTTGACCTCAGTTAATCAGAATTTTGACATCATCTGCAATTGAAAGTCAATCTTAAGAGGTTAACATTTGAGCTTTCGGTCACGTGGTTCTTTGCATGTACTCGGTTCGGTTATTGGTGGGTTTCAGTAAGTGTTACAATCTAGACGACTGTCAATATCAGAAATGTTGGCACTTCCTGGAGTAACTTAATTGCTTCAAATACAAAACTGCTACATAAAGTAAAAAAGAGTGAACATTAATTTTTCACCTTGAGTAACTCGTACTGAGACCCACTAGCTATTTGCGGTCTGTTTGTGCCAGTGTTCTTCTCTTTGTGTAAATGTACTGCTTAGGTGTCTACGTGTCTGTGCATGGATAACGCAGCGCGCAGCTAATATCCAGAATATAGGCAGACAAGTAAAACCTTGCCAGACTTTAAAATTTTGTTTATATCGATATGTTACGTTCATAAATGTATAGAAATATCATGAAATGTGTTAGGTTTTGGCTTGGGGTTAAATCTAACCCTATAACCTTAACCTTAATCCATTACATGATCTGTATATTTGTGTACGTAATATATGGGTGTTGCTAAAATTTTGTTAAAAAGCTGGCATAGTTTTACTTGGGTAGGATAACTAAACTGGGTGCAAATGGTATCCATAGCTTAGAGGGTGCAAATGGTACCCGTAAGAAGATTGGTGGATATCGTTGTCGACAATTTGTTTTGAAAGATGTGGATTCTCTCCGGGTACTACGGTTAACAACTACAAAAAGATCAGCTTAGGACTGTAATGACATAATTATTGTAATGATAAATAATCTAGGCTTTAGTAAATCTTTCATCGCCCGTAGTGCATGTATATCGCTGGTTTCGAACGTTAGTTTTCTGCTCCGGGTTATATGAAAACAGTTCGCTACCAGAGATTAGGTCCCCTCTCTGTTATGGCGTCTCGACGATGCCGGAAGACATTACCATAAGGCATGCAAACCTTACCCCTGTTTGTGGAAGCTCACCAGGTGCGATCGGCACACTAAGTTAAGTTAAGCTAGGGGCATGACCGAGACTCCACATTCGGGGGTTTCCCTTGCAGGTTTTTGAAACGGTATGTGTGCGCGCGCACTAGTTAGGAAGGTTAGGCAGCTAGAAATAGGGCGTGCATACTATAAGGCATGTATATACTATAATTCATTATCGTCAAACGTTTGCGCCAGTAACTTTCTGAGAAGTATTTAAGACAACAGGAAAATGGAATCTATTTTCCTGCTGAAAAATACTTACAGAACCAATTCAAAGTGGAAAAAAAGGAAATATTGCGAAAAAGAGAAAAATAAAAAAGAAAACCGCGAAGCCACTTTGAATATAAGCAACAATAGTCCAAGAATACTCGTTGCAGAAAAAACAACAACAAAAAAGAAACAGTTTTCTGCCTAAAATATCTTGGATTAGGGGCTTAACGATAAGAAACGTAGTTCTCGCTCCAAAGTGGAGAATAGGCTCGTTTCTTTAGGTTGCTAATGCATTGCGCGCACGCTTCATAAATTATACTATAAGTTTTCAGTTGAAAAGACCGCCAGGAAGAATAGAGTGTTTTCACGTGTTGCTTTGTTGACGGACAAGTATTTTAAAATAATGGTTTTCTTGTTTACTTGAATTTCGGCACTAACTTGTTCCCAAACATAGCCGCCGTGAAACACTCTGCAGATCAAGTTTATATACGGTCGCAATAGCAATATAGAATGTTTGCCATGTTGCATTCCGTGTTGTCTTACATTGTTCGTACATGAGCTTGGTCGAACCATGGATAATAAAAACACCATGGTCGTGCGCAGCTAATTAACATAAGCGGCGTGCGCGTGCTGCTGTAATGCGGAGTACAGTCAATGAGTGTACTCCATGTGCAAATAGTGACGTGTGCTCTATATAGTCTAGACTTGAAAAACAAATTAAGGTGCATGTGGATTAGAATAAAGTGCGCAAAGTTTCATGCATAATAAAATTAAACGCGCCCAGTTGCATGCTTAGTATAATTAAGGGCATGAAAACCAGTGCATGCTAAATTAAATTGAGTGCGCGCGTTGCAATTTCCTTGCGCGCAATAAAAACAAAATGCGCCAAAAATCTAAATATAGAAATGCACACATCACATCTTCAAAATGCATCCAAGTGTACTAGCAGCTTTTACTAACTATCGTAAAATAGGTTGGACCATTGGATTCATTTGCCACGCACCTTGTCCTGGACATATCTGAAATATTTTCAGGTTTCAAGGTTAAGACAAATATACCCTTATGTGGAACAATTTGTTCATAAAGTAAAGAGATATATTTGTCTTGCGCAATCTGTAGACTGAGTTTTCGGGTGGTCTACAATTTTTTTTTTTGAACATCTCGTGTGAGATTTTTATTTTTATTTTGAGTTTTTTTTAAAGATTTTTACTTTTCTGGATTTTGGTAGGTACGGGTAGGTATGGGTAGGTATAGTATATACTATAGTTAATTCGGTCGCACAGGGTTGTCCCCGGGGTTTTCGGAATCCGGACTCGTAATCACCAAGGTTTTTCACCAGATCTTCTGGTTTTCCTCGGGTGATTACGTATTTTTTCGTTTGGCAAAATACCTAAAAATTCCAAAACAAAAACAGTGTCCGTGTTCGGGACGAATTTAGTACTGTATAGAAAAAAAATGGATTATATAGCTGTTGTATATTTTCGCGAATTCGTTGCTGAGTACATGCGTCATTATATTCTGATGCGTCATTATATTCTGTAGTAATTTAATTCCACATCGTAAGATCCCATTTTACATCTCTTAAGCCTGGTTCACATTGATCGGCGATCTTCTACGATCCATTGTCTGTGAGCAACGAAGAAGAAAATGCACAAAACATTTTATGCATCACTGACCACCGACAATGGGCATCGCCGATGTTTACGATCAATGTGAACCAGGCTTTAATAAAAATGTGGTTTGCAAAGATCATCTACATAACATATATGTATATGTCATTTTTCTCCATAAAAATGCATTGGAAAAGTAATTTACAATGGGACATTACAGAAAACATACATACCTCTCCCATGGAGGTAATTGGAAGTTAACCCCTCTTTGAATGTTCTAATACACTACAAATTACAATTACCCCCCCCCCCCCCCCGACAGCGCAAACCTCCTCCTGTGGTGAAAGGATTGATCTTTTTTAAAACGACCCAATTTTGCTGAAATACAAAGTTGTGGTAACGAAAATTAACATTTTTCTAACTAGTATAATAGCAGACAATTAAATTTCCTGATCTATATAGTTGCTTATCTTGTCATGAAAATCGCGAAGACACAGTACTTGTTCGTTTCCGGGTTGAATTCCCAGAACACTGTAGTAGTTGTACAGTTCCGTGACATACTCTCGCAAAAGTTCCATTCACGAGGATTGACCGCTATTTACGAGAGGGTGGGCCGGTTATTGAGGGATGGGGGCAGAGTTTTAAAATAATTTCTGGGGTTTGGGTCAATTGATGAAACTGGTTAGGGTCTATTCTTCGGTTTCATATGACGTCATAAATTTGACGGGGGGGGGGTCAACTCGAGCCACAGTCATCAGAGTGAATTTAATTGTTCACTGTCCACTGAGCTTTACTAGAGCAACCACGGACATCCAGTGCTGTAAACGGGTCAGTCGCTCAGAGGTTAGGTCGAACAATATGTGTTAATAGTGAAGGTAAATATAATAGATTAAAATTGGATTTAGTGTGTATTTTGGTATTTTTGAAATATTTTACATTATTACACCTGTGACGTCAGTTTCATACGGGACTGCCGCTTCGCCACAGAGTTTTTGGCGGGAAAATTTGTAATGTTAATTGAGAAGACAAGACGGCGCCAATTACTTCGTGTCATGAAAGGGCATTTTTGTTCACAAATATCCGCTTATTTTACGTTATAGCGACTTGTTAGATTTGGAAACTATAACTCAATGGACGGGGAAAAAGGATTGTGTAGTAAAGAGAAAAATACGTGCAGTCATTGACTTACTGTGATGTTAAATGTTTGTTGTGAAATTAGACGGCCGACATTAAAAAACCAAACCTCCCTGTCGAGGACCTCTGCTTTTGGGATTTTTACCCCTCTGGAATGCAAAAAAATCTGTGTAATTGACCCTTCTGGAAGAGACTTGAACCCCCTCTGGAAGTGCATTTTTACTTTTTAACCCCTCTGGAAAGAGCATTTTTCTTCCATTTTTCCCAATTACCCCTCTGGAAAAAATGACTAATTTCCCCCTTGGAAAATGAGGTCCTCGACAGGGGGGGTACGGGTATTAAATGTAATAGCCCAATACCGAGAAGTATTATAAAAATGACAGACAAATTTCGTGGCAGAAAACTTTTTGTCACAAACTGTGCCACGGAGCATTCACACTACTTAACACTCACCACCGTCACATCCATTTCGAACTACCGTTCACCTTTCGAAGAACGAGAAGTAGACGGAAGACAAATTTTGTGGCAAAAAATCTTCTGTCACAAACTCTGCCACGAAGCTATCAAAACATCAATATATCCTTCGCTATCCATTTGAAACAACTTTCAATAATATTTTCAACCGATGTTTCCACTTTCATCAGAGACACATTAACACAACATCAATACACCCAACCCACTCGAAACTTCCCAGGCCCACTCCCTATTCAACACTTTTCAATCCACTATTCTGAGCAGTAATCCCAACTTAACCCAATCCCCACCGGAACCTTAACCCAAAACCTTATTCCAAACCCTTATAATCCAAACCCTACCCTATCAACTAACCCTACCCTAACTAAGCCCACCCTAATCCAACCCCCTACATTTTAGGATTCGTCTTTCGCCCCCCCCCCCGGGCGTAATTTTATAACCCCTCTCCTCCCAAGAATTCCTTTTCGCCTTGCCTGCACGCAGAGTACGGTTCACCACAGTTATACGAGTAAGTAAATTTCAATTTTTACATTCCGAAACCAAAAATCAACACATCACGCATTAGAATCATATCATTTTCAGCAATCACAAAGCACACATACCAAATTCAACTAACATTCACACTGTTCCTAGACGAAATAATCAACAGATTTTTTCGCGAAAAACATGCATGTATAATTCATTAAAGGAACAGAAATGAATATTTATATGCGAGCACGTAGTTCCAAAACCAGCTAGCGGGGTCGAAACGTGCTTTCCCGGTTATGCTTGGAGCCTGATGAGGTTATGCCTTAGTTTTGAACACAAAACACATGGAACTTGACCTGGGTGGCGATAAATTGGCATTCACCCATGTCTTGGCATCATCACAATACATCTCACATTATAAACGCACCCGGGTTATGCCTGCGCGATCTTCACAAAAACAATCAATCGAGTCATACACGTCACAGTTTTACTATTCATGTCTCATTTTAGCTTGAATGTTCAGACTTATGTATCACTTATATTTCATACCATTTTACAACTCATATATCACCAGTATCATCACTTTATATCTATATTATAAATCAAGCTTCACCAACATCATCACAGTCCATGCATCATCATATATAACATAATTCACTAAAATCATCATTATCTACACCATTCCAATTCTATCAGTCACATTGAATCGAAATTTCATTTCACTCCACACATCATTTGATGTTCACCCAATAGAATGTCCCAACAGGTCCAGCAGGGCCACAGCATTCCAGGATCTGAATACCTGCAACCACCTTTTTGATCCAATTCTAAAATAACAAATGACACAAAAATATCTCAAAGGAGGAATAACGATTGGGTAAAGACGTTTATCACGAATTAGACGTTAGTCACGAATTATATATTAGAATATATAGAATAATTATAAAGATAGTTATACGGCAAGGGTTTAAGTTTATGTTGATGCGCTAACTATGCTTGCTTGTCGCGTCGTGACTGTCTTTGTATACCATGTACGTATGTCAATTTTAAACCAATTTTTAACCATCGTGAATAATTTCCTCAGATATAAAATTATTGTGACAAGTGAGTGTGGTAATGAGTAGGATTTTTGATGTAGATACAGCTAATTCATTTACCGTGAGTCCGTGACTGGCTCTGGAAATAGAAAATCTCGACCGCTAAGTGCGGTAAGCACACTGAACACATTAAGTGTTTATGTGGGGTCGTTGGGACGGCAGCGCTGCTAATTTCCATCCGTCCCATGCAGTGAGTTGCGCCAAGCGAAGTAGCGGACTGATGGGGGGGGGGGGGGGGGGGGGGTAAATCTTGGAAATTTGACCGGTTTCCATCTCTCAAAAATGAGAAAATTCAGGTAAATTGAAAATAGATTAAGACATTTTCAGGTAAAATTTGGGTAATAAAATCATCCAATTTTGTAAATTTATAACGAAAATGAAAAGTTGACCTACTTTTTGTATATTTGTGGGAAATATATATGGTCAATTTGGACGGAATTCGTTTTCGAATTCGCACCAGAAAGCATCATAACTGCAGTTCTGCGGCATTGATTAGAATGAAAAAATATTCTGGTAGCCGAGCCTCGAACTCCCGTTTCTTCGACAATTTGCTATAATAATTACATTAAATTACAATAGTTATAAATTAGAAGTGCAAATTTCGGGTAAAATTCCCTGACACTCCCTCCCCTATAAAAAAAACTCATCTCGATATACCTTGCATTGCTTCGTCATTGGCCTGTTCAACGCCTTCCCCTATATTATCCAGTGCTATACTATTTATTAACTGAATGGTGGTGAAAAAAGCGCGATCTGAAAAGTTGACCGATGTATATCAGAAAAAATTGCAACACGATACTTGGTTCGATCATCACGTTTTGACCTTTTGTGATTCGCTATTAAACGAAATCGCTGAACCCCAGCTTGATGTATCGTTGGCAAATACCGTTCGGTGTCTGCAAGAATGGCGGAACGAGCTTCTTGTGCATTAGATTTATATTAGTTTAGAGTTGGACTAATTGCAATCTGCAGACCCTATATGCTCATATTGTTTATTTAACAATTATTGAATGAGGTTGAGCGTGATATGAAAAATAATACACAAACTGAGGGTTGATAATTCTTAGTATAACTTAATTAGTATCTGGCGAGAAGCTATTTCTGTGAAAAACATGTCTAAAAAATTAGTGATGATTCTTACGAATTTTTACCGTATTGTAAAAGGACAATCTCACAAATATGCAGAGGTGAAGACAATCGTTACTCTGCTTTGAAAATCACGTGGGCATGCTCAAAACTGCGACACTGTGGAAGATTTGACTACCTGAGAAATACAGAACTTCGACGTTTCGAGGGAAGGCCCTTCGTTTTCATAATTTATTATATACATGACAAAATTACTGCAATCTGATTGGTTAAGAGGAGCGCAATTATTTCATTAATTATTTATCTTCTGTAATCAGTGGCAAATACTGCAATTTCATTGGTTTACAGGAGTGCGATTTGAGCGTTAATCGCACCTTTTCTGAGTTGTAATCGCACTCTTGTCTACAGCCAATGAAAATCAGTCTAGTATTTACAACTAGCCAATCAGCATTCAGAATTTTATTTTCTTTATTGCTGTAAAAAATTTAAAAATGGAGGAATTCACAAATTTTGACCTTTTAATTTTTAAATCAGCCCTCGAAAATCGTCAAACCTTACACCAAAGTGTATCGAATTCTATAATCGCTGACTTTTTAACAGCTATCAGCACCAAAAAAGATTCTTACTTTGGCTGAATAAAGGCGGCAAAAAATTGCCGACCTGGGAGGTTGTTCGGTCGGCATTTAGGTCACCATTGCCGAATGCCGACCTCGTTTTCGAGGGCTATTAAATTATATATTTTCTGACGAAAATGACCTACCTGTTCTTCCAGCAGAAGACACCGAACTAGATAGGCCGTGGGATGAGCATCCAAAAGATGCTTAGAAAACGGATTCCGTTGCACCCCTCGTGGAACTACGTAATTTACACATGAATAAATAGATAAAAACTTACTTTATCAGAATCCGTTGCTCCCCAAGCGAAACAGGTGCACAATTGGGAGAAAAATCCCTCCAAAGTTTGATATTTTCGC